GTGGGATTCGAACTCTAGACCTGCCATCTGGGGGTGCGACAACTCCACCACTTCACTAAGTCGCCACACCCTCTTAAGGCTCAATTTTAAGAGACTAAGATTACATATAATCATAGTATATGTAGTACCAAATAATGAAGAGATACAGAATAAAATCTATAAGCACCTATATAAAGAATTGGGCCAATCTGAATGAAAACAAAGCATCTATATAATAATAAGTGATTTCAATGCAGAATATAAAGAAAATATTAAGGATTTTAACAAAGAAAAGGAAACATTAAAAACAAAGTCCAATAAAAAGAAGCAAATACTAAATTTGCTAAGAAAAAAAACTTTAGAAATGCTCTTAAGATAGCAAACCCAGAAAAACATATAACAACGTGGTTAAAAAGAGGATCTGAGACAAAAATTGATTACATTTGGGTTTCAAAGAGCTAAGAGAAAAATATTCTAACAGGCAAAGCCTATAAAGCAGACCAAATAATAGTAAGTGACCACAAATTGCTTTATGTCATGATAGAAACAAGACTCCAGAAAAGAAAATCCTTGCTAGCCAGACTAAGAAAATCAACCAAAAAAAAAATTAGTGTAGACCTTGATAAAGCTACAGAAAAAGATTGGTTAAAATACAAGAATATTTTAGAAAAAAAGATCAACAAAAAAAAAAAGAAAAAGAGTAAAAAAGTAAAGTATGATAGAGATCTGAAATCAGAGAAAAAACTATAACAAGATTTGTCAAACCTAGATGAAGTCTGGAAAAGATTCTAAAATGTATCCAAGTAGTAGCAGGGTCAGCACTACCTAAAAGAAAAACTATACCATCACTTCTAGAAGTACAATCTTATAACAGAGAGCTAGCAAAAATTAAAAAAAAATTAAAATAACAGGAACTTGGTATTGCAAACTCAAAAAAACTTGTACCTATATAAATAAAAAAGAAAAAGAAGAATTTTTAGTAGTTTAAACTTTAGCAAAAAATTGGTTAATATATCTAGAAGAGGAGTACAAAGAGGTTAATATAGAAGAAGATTTAATAATTAGTGAAGAAGAAAGTGAACAAAATAATGAAGAAATAATAACAAACCAAAAAAATAATAAAACTAAAAGAGAGCTTGAAATCTGGTGGAAGATTCTGTACAAAGTATAACAAATTAGCAAGAATAAGGCAGAAGAAAAAATAATACAAAAGCAGATTCAAAAATGATATGCAATGATAGTAACTGATCAAAAGAAAATGATAAATAGTTTATTAGAAAGGCCATATAATAAGCTATGTCTAGACAGAGTCTTAGTTGAGCTTGAGAATAACGAAGAAGAACTCGTATATAAATTACAAGAAGTTCTAGAAACAGTAAGAACCTACTTCTAGAAACAGTTCTGCAAATAGGAGTCAAAAGCAAATAGCTTACCTTTGTTTTAGAAAAAAGAGTATGAACTACTAGACAAGATACAAGAAGAATGGTATCAAGAGATTTTGAAAGAAGTTACGATAGAAGAGTGGAATTAAGCTTTAAGCCAAACCAAAAGTAGCTCTACACCAGAAATAACAGGAATCACATACTCTCTGCTTAAAAATATAGAAAAAAAAACAAAAGTTCTTTTTACCAAGTTCATTTCGGAATGTATAAAAAAAGGCAAAATCCCAAGAAGAGGAAAATAGGAATGCTCTATTCTATCCCTTAATTGGTAAAGATTTGCAGGCAAATTTGGCTGCATAATTACTATAAATATGTCTCTGATCTACTTTTTT